TTACCACTGCCAATTTCCACATCTTTGGAGAGACCCACAGACATGGCTCTGCGCACTAGATAGAACTGGCACATGCTGAGGCCAATGCATAGTGTCACTCCATAGCTGGAGTGTGGGATGGCTAGGTTACACCTGCAGACGAACTTCATGCTGGATATGGCCCATGGACAGTCCCCAGTCATACGTATCTGGCCTGCAGGAATGAAAGATTGAGAACTATTGTTTTAGAATAACAACAACTCTACCTTTTATTAGCACTGCATATTTATATGCATTACAATGGGTCCTAGGAGTTCCTGCAAAGATCAGTGGCTCTGTTAGTACAATGAAAAAAACCTAAGATAGTACTGGAAACCCAAAACATACACTAAAAATGTTATTGTTCTGGATATTTTGGTACACTTACAAATGGTCCTAGGTATATGTGAACAGTGCAGAAGCACAGAGCTCTCTTCCCTTTTGAGCCCTGAGCTTGGGTAAAGCTTAGGAAATGGTAGCAATGGCAATAAAACAAGGCCTTTTTAAAAATATGAATGGGCAAGAGCATTGGCTATAAGGAGAAAGTATAGAATAAGCCTCCTGAAGGGAGAAAAGGGTTGAAGACCCTGGTGGTTCTAATGCTTCCTGTAAACTATTTACATGTGCCATGGGTTGTTATAAATGCAGTTATTTATTCATATATTGCTAAAAATGAGTTCATTGTAGGCAGCTATGGGCAGAGTCTGGACAGATCCCAGCAGGGTACGTTTGGTCAAGCTAGTTGAGCTGACCAGTTTTACTTTTGCTGCTGGCTTTGGCCAAGGACCCACTGTTCAGGGCCCTTGCCTCTGCTGCAGCCAGGCTAGTGGATAATACCCAGAGGCCACCCCAGGCTTGTTAGCAATGCAAAACAAACAAAAGAAGTCAAACAAATTGTCACAACCCAGTGATTTTTGGTGCTTTGGCACAGTGGGATTTTCTTGCCACATGAGAGCCTCTTGCACAGCGAGGGTTTTGCTGCACAGAGGAACCTCGGTGCAAGAGAGTTCCCGCCAATTTGCAGCCTTCTTTGCAGGGTGCATTTCTTCTTTGCAGCACAGAAATGCACGGTGCAAAGAGTTCCCGCTATTCGAATTTAAATTGGTGTCCTGCTATTGGCCAGTGCTAAATTATTCACATGTGGCGGCTAGTAATTGGCTCGCTGGCTGTTTAAAATTCCGCGCGACTTCCGCCCAAGTCAAAGAACTTTGAGCAGGCTGCAGAGTGCCTCTGAAGTGATCTGACTTGCGGCTGCCGATCGATAGACTGATCACCTATCAATCTTTCTTCCTGTCACCGAGCGCAACCCCAGACATACCCCTTTCCCCGCCGGCTTCGAATTGCGGACGGATTAACTGGCTTGGGCCCCGCCAGCTGGAACAACTCGTGTGGTTGTTCAGACGACCGGACCACCTGCGTCGTGATTGCAAGCGGCGTGAGTAAAGTTTTTTGCAACCGATAAGTTGTGTCTGCCTCTACATTCACCAGTCCGCCCTAACGTACGAGCAATCTCTGAATCACCTCGAGTCGGCTCTGGCCGTCCGAGACACAAATAAGTTATCACTTAGCTGTCTTCCTGTGGTTTTTCCAGGCTTCAGCTCCTGGTTGTCTCTTACCTTTCAGAGGCTTTGCAGAGCCTGCAGGCTTGTGCAACAAAGCAAATGAGCAAGCAAGCAAGCAAGCAAGCAAGCAAGCAAACAAACAGTGAGGAGCCCTGCTCCAGGCTTTCCTGGTGACTGCTTAACGCAAGGGTGGGCAAAATGTGGCCCATGGGCCAAATGCAGCCTGCCAGGCTGTTCTAGCTGGCCTACAGGGCCCCTAAAAAATGTAGAAAATTAATATTCATCTGCTGCTGGCTGTCTGTCATGCAGCCCTTAATGGCTTACCAAAACTCAGTAAGCAGCCCTATGCCCAAAATAATTGCCCACCCCTGGCTTAACTCCCGGTGGCTCCAGGCAGCCTGCTCCCTCACCAGGTGCAGCCCCTTGAGGTTGTTTTCAGTGTCTTTTATCCTTCCCACTCTTGGCTCATGCAGCTAATCCTCTCTCACTCCACACACCTATGTCAACTCCCTTGCTGCAGGACTCACTACATCCCAGGACTTGGTTCTCCAGCCTCCAGTGAGTTTTCCCAGGTCTGGGGTGGGTGTGAAGAGCTGCTTCTGGGGTGTGGGGCTGTTCAGACTCCCCTGAAACCATAGTAACAGGGCAGGGCCCTGTTACATTCACAAACATACATTCTACTAGAAAATAGTGCCACTCAATTCACCAGAGTTTTTGCATTAAGTTTATTAAGCCACAGACACCCCTCCATCAACTCTGCTTCCCTACAATGCAAAGATGCATAGCATATACTGCATGAAATATGCTGAGAATGCTTCAGAAAATACCTTGTACTGTTACTGGGGAAACAACACCTATATCATCCATAATTCATACCAGTCTCTGTGTGTATACATTAATTTATTATGTATATTCACATACAGTATATCCATATAGCTGTATCAGATAAACTCTGCATTTTGCATCTGGAGAATCAAAAATACAATTTACTTTAGAAAATATCATTTATTTTTTGGGAACAAACTGTGTATGTCATATACTGTCTACTGAACTGTCTGTGTAGCAGCAATAGATCTTGCTAAAATATAAAGTTAAATTTGAATTGCAATTCCGTTACATACACTTTACTTTAGTTATTCATAATATTGTCAAATAAAATCTTTCTGGACTGAAATTGGTTCCATTTGTGCTTTCTGCCCAGGGTTGCATATGTGTGGGTGTGTGCAGGTATCAAATTTACACTCAAGTCAGCATAAGCCACCATATTTACTATGGACGTGCACGTAAGGACGCATGCCCATACTGCACAGCAATTTCAGTTACTGTGCAATAAATGTGCACATGGTAGAAGCACCTGCAGTTACCTATCCCAGAAAGCAGCTACTCTGTGATTCAGCACAAAGTTGGTAATTGCTTTGTCTTCATTTACTAACAGAGATAAATGGGAGAAACAACAGACATACCATACACTGAAGACATACTAAACTCCATTAGGTCATTGATGCAATAACCAAGATTCTCAGGAAGGGTTCAAACTATCCTTCAGCACGGAATACCTAGTAAAATCACAGTAAAGTGCATTTACTTCCTCCAATGTAAGTGACCAATTGATTTATAGGTATCAACAAAGTGTGGATAAAAGAGATTAATGAAGTCAGCAGGGCTTATGTTTTACAATTTTGAAAATCGGGGATTCTGAAATTAGGTATCCAGAAACATAGACACTTGTACTCAGTAGATGTAAAATCCATTTATTCATCGTTGATGTATGGCAGAACTTTCAAGAGTCTTCCTAGTCTATTGCTAGCTCTGAACATTCAGTTGATGACCTAGTGAGCTGCAGCGCATCATCTATTCATCTCTTCATTGTCTGTCCTCTACTAAAAGACCTACTGCATGGCTTCCATAATTACTTTCTCAAGGTTATTTTCATCTCTGATGTGAACAAAGTATGTAAGCTTGTGACTATTGCTTTATGACAACAGAATCTGCCTTTCTCCAACAATATTCTAACATAGGTATTAATCATCCTTCTGACCAGGAGAAACAACAGTCTTTATCAGGCTTGCACCTCAATTAGTATAGATCTCTGCATACGTACACTTTTGATGCCTCCCCATACATGCACTTAGCTACAATATTTATTATATGAAAATAATAGTATTTGCTTTCTTATCTCAGAAGCTGCATTGTTTTTCTTGTATAGAACTGATATGAAGAACACAGAAAGGTTTCATTAACTAAACAATTAAAGTATAGAGTATACACTCTGGTGAACTACTTGCACTGCATTTAGTTTAAACCAGTGGTTCTCAAACTTTTTTTTTCACGGGACACATGAAAATTGCTGAGGGCCTCAGCGGACCACTTAATAACCTTTTTTTTGTTCTACAAATCAAAGCACACAACTCATATTTTAATATCAATAGTCTTACCTTTCTAATGCAATGGATGTGCCTGGGTTTTTTTAGCAAAGTTCGGGGAAGTTGGGTGTAATGTTTGTCAGCTTTTGCCTTGGGTCACCTTTCTGTGGACCACCTGAATGGAGCTCGCAGACCAGTGGTGGTCTGTGGACCACAGTTTGAGAACCTCTGGTTTAGAAGTTTGGCAAGTTTGAGCAACAATATTCCAGATTATTTTTATATAAAGTCATACCCTTGGGGGGGGGGTGTGTGTGTGTGTGTGTGTGTGTGTGTGTGTGTGTGTGTGTGTAACCTGTTGCTGAGCTGCTCTGCAGTTGAAATCATTAAGATTTGAAAGTTGGAATTTACCATGGAAACAGCCCTCTATAAGACATGGGGTACAGAGGAACCAATTTTGATTTAGCCAAATCCTGAGAACGTGATAATTTCCCATAGAGTATACAAGTAAAACATTATTATCACTAAGCTTGTTAAGTGCACATCAAAGGCACAGCTAACTTAGCTCTGTAGTGAATAATATATTTTTCAGAATGGCTTCTAGCTTTTCTGCCATCACTTGGCAGATGAGGTCCATCCCTGCCTAGAGAATCTTCAGAGAAGTTCCTAAGCTTTGCTGGAGCAAATCTCTTTCATTGTTCTGCTTCATCTGAGCTAAAGGATTTTAGCTTACGTCATGCCAAGCTAGGAACTTTACCTGATTGAAGCATGCAGATAAGTTCCTACTCAACTTTTAAAGGCTTCACCAGCAGATGATTAGTTTGAGCCTTGAGGAGATATTGAGCCATTGAAACATCCAGGCCAGTTGAAGAGTTCCTCTATCGGTGCTTGGGAACTTAGAAACTCTGTAGAAGGGAAAAATGTAGCTAAGAGTTCAAACACAAGTGTTTAACTTTGCTCTAGTCTGCCTATTACCCATGCTGCTGCCATTGGTATTCTCTATTGATATACTGCAGATGTGATATTGTCTAAGCCTATGTCTTCATTCCAGTTAGGCAGAATGGGCCACACAGGTTAGTCTCTTGGTTGTTCAGTGATCAGCTGAGCCATACTAGTTATGGTATTATGGTTGCCTATGTGAATTACTAAATCTTTTTGGGGTATATCCTTTGTTATCCCATGCCATGTTATGAATACCTGCATTATAACGCAAGGGCACCTTCATGACCAAGAGGTTTTGATACCTTCTGGTAGAATGTGTGTTGCTCCTTCCATTGGAATATGTCCCTTTAAGTCTTACTAGCAAAAAAGAGGATCACATTTTTTTCTGGAGAATGAATGCGATAGCCCACCTCAAATATCTTTTGATATTCATGAGGAAATATAACGATAACTAAAGTGTAATAATCCATTACAATACTGAGCATGAGAAGCAATGTTCCTGAACCTGAACTTGAGTACCTCATCTTTGAGGTTTTTTGGTTTCTCTCCAGTGGTCCTCAGTTCTTCCCACTTCTGGGAAGAAGTGGTTGGCTCTACCAAATTATATAAATTATAGTGTAAAGAACCTCCAAGTGCCAGAGAGGAGTGCTGTGTAGAAATGTGATGCCAAAAAGTTCTCACATGAGATTTTCACAGATATTGAGGGGTGAATTAGATCAAATGTTGTAGCTGTTTGCATCCTTTTTGAGATTATTATTAATATCATTTGATACTTTAACCCATGCTAGCTGGAGATTTTGTCAGAAAACTAGTTTAGACTAAAAGAGCTGAGTCTTGAAGTTGGCTTGAACTAGGTAGGCTATCTTCTCTTGGTATTTTTTACTCATACAGTGCAACTGGGTTTTCTAACAGCACTTTCCCAAGTGCTGAACTGTTGTTTTTATAGACTTTCAACATGGAGTTTGGGCATTTCAATGGGACTTTGTTCTGTAGAAGGAAGGGCAGGGTGAATACCAATTTATGAGGGTTCATTAGAAAGGGAACTATCGGTTCTGCTGAACACCAGGTGCACTCATGGAGAGACTTCTTTCCTCGAGCTTTTTAGAAACGATAAAAGTCTCTGTTAATATTAGCAGGTTCCCCAGGTTGTGTGCATACACACAGAAAGACCCAGTCCCAGCCCCAAGAAGCTTGCAGTCTAAATCAGTGGTTCTCAACCTTTTTTGTACCTGGACCCATTTGTAAACACTGATGGCCAGTCCCAGCCCAGTGCCCCTCGCTCTTGACCAACTGCCCCGTGCCCCCAGGCCCCAGCCTCCCAGTGTGTGGGGCATGGGGAGTGCCAAGCAGCCCCAAGCAGGATGGAACTGCCAGCCTGCGAAGGAAAAGTCACAGGTTCCCAAATTTTTCTTCTTTAAAGGAGAATCCATTTTTAAAGATTGTTTGTAACCCTTTCATATATTCTTGCGATGCATGTGTTAAAAGCTGAGGGCTATTATGCTTATAGTCTCCATTTTACCAATAGGGAACTGATGCACAGAAAGGGTGTCCAAAATCTGCAAACACCCCTGCTTAACTTTAAGCATGTGACAAGCCCTGTTGGAGTCAAATTGTGAAATCCTGGTCTCTCTGAAAAAAAAATGGCCAGATTCCCATTGACTTCAGGACTGCCAGGATTTTACCCAGAGGACCCAAGAACACACAAGTCTTGAGCAGAGCCAGTACTGAACTTGCTTCTCCTGAGCCTTAGCAACAAGACTGCCCTTCCTGACACAGAGCTGAAGATATATCATTTGATGCCATTATTCAGTTGGTTGTTGTTACAGGGCCTTCAGGACCCACATAGGGGTCAAGGACCTCTCTAGTATGCCCATACTGTCTCCCTAGAAGTCTTTGAGACAGCTGCTAGCATAGGTGACTGATGGGAGGGGCACGTGCCCCCCTGAGATTGGCTGCCGCCACTGGCTTCTGCGGGTGGTTGCTGCTTGCCACTCTGTACTGTACCCCTCCCCTGCTCTCAGGAGACACCGGGCACCCATGGCTGCTGGGGAAAATAAAACATGCCCTATCTGCCAGCCTCCCTACACCAAACCTGGCCGGGTGGCAGCAGGGGTGACCCTCACTGCTCCCCACACCTGTGGGATCTCCCACTGCCTCCTGCCAGGGTGTGACCGTCACGGGGAGGGTTTTATTGGGGGCAGTGAGGGGCGGGGAGCTCCTTGCATGATAAAAAACACCTATAAAGCCGGTCGGTGCCCTGAGAGCTTCACCAGGAAAGACTGAAACGCTGCGGTTTGCAAGGGCCGGTGCCTAGAAGCGGGCTGCTGGGGCCCCGACGGCCCAGAAACTAGGCGGGAGGCGCGTTTCCTCGGCCCCGCGGTGTAGCTGGCACGAAGTTCTCCAGCCCAGGCGCCCCGAGCAAGACTGTGCTGAGCTCTGACTGTCCCGACAGCACCGCCGGCCCGACGCAGGATGCAGGAGCCCGCGCCTCCGGGCGGGAAGCCTGCGGCGTCTCCATCAGCCTCATGAGCTCAGGAGCCAAGCTCAGCCCCAGGCCTGCCCACGGGCCCGGCACTGCGCCCCGCCTCGCCCCGCTGGCACCTGCCCGGCAGCACTCCTGGCGGGCGGCCCGGCCCTAGCACTCGGTGGAGGCGGGGGCGGCCGGGACACAATGAAGGCGTTGGACACACCTTCCAGCCCGGCGCCGGCGGCTCCCCG